ACCCGGAGATGCCCACCGTGTCGTCTCTGCCAGGCACCACAAACCTCCCCGATCCGCATCCCGTACGGCAACGGCAAGGGCGAGCTCATCGACTTGCCGGGCCTCGTGCGGAGCGACCTCGAGCTCTTCGTCCAGGAGGACAAGCGCCAGGCCCTGGTCATGCAGGACAGGCTCAAGCCCGAGCAGCACTCGATCAAGCCGGGCCAGTCGCTGCTGCTCGGCGGCCTCATCCGCATCACGCCGCGGACGTCGGACCTCGTCTTCCTCGGTTACAACTTTACGCCGCTGCCCGAGCACCTGACGTCGACCGACAAGGCCGTCGCCTTCCAGGCGCAGGAGAGGACCGCCGCGCAGGTCGACAACATCTGCACGCCCGACGCGGCCGACAAGATGCAGCTCGCGGGCTCCTTCCCGCTCCGCCACGACGTGACCAAGCTCCGCGCGGGGGCCCATCACGCGCAAAAACGCCATCAACATCAAGGTCGAGAACCTCCCGTACCGTGTCCTGTCGACCGACATTCTCATCGAGGGCGTCGGCTGGGTGGAGATGACGGCGCAGGTCCGCGCGAGGCAGCTCTTCGCCAAGCCCGAGGCCAAGGCGGCGGCGGAGCCCGTTGTCGACGACAACACGCCCGAGGACAAGCCGCAGGATCCCTTTGACGCCATCCTCTCGCGTGTGCACGGCGCCGAGAAGGAGAAGCCCAAGGAGCCGCCGGTCGCCGACAAGAAGACGAACAGCAAGGCCGGCGGACTCGGCGAGCCCGTCGAGCTCAACTGGCCCGTGGTCGACGTGTACAGCCCGCTCGGCAAGTTCGTCGGCGTGCGGCCTCCGATGAACGGCTACATGCTCAACAAGCCGCGCGTGCTGGCGAAGCACAAGAAGGCGCGGCCGCGCAGGAGCATGAAGGGCGCCAAGAAGAGGGACAAGATGGCGCGCAGGGATGCCGCTGCTGCGTCCGCTCTCGCCTCGGCGTCGGCTTGAGGCGAGGGCACGAGACGCATCCAGGGAAGACTGTCATAATACTGTATTTTATCCTGTACATTACGACTTGTACCATTATGCGGGGTCATAGAAAAGAAAAACTCCCAGGAACCCATCAATCACCCCTTTCAAAGCTTTCAAAGCGGGGGAAGCATCGCCGATGGACAGATACTCTTTATAGAACCTTTCCCATGACCCGTGATTCCGTAACACAGTCTTCCCGAAATTGCTCCTCCACGCGGCCACTGGCGCCTTAAAACACCAACATCAGCATGACAAGATGGGGTATCAGCCTGAACACTCCGTAGACGCCCAGGGCTCTTCTCGGATAGAAGAACCCCTCCCAAAGGTTAAAAAGGAAAAAGAAAAAGAAAAAGAAAAAGGACCAGAGAAGCGTGACGTTCGTTCTGGGCACCTTCGCGCCCGAAAGTGCTTCACAGCAGCCGCGGGCCTTACGCCGTCCCTGACGTGACCCCGACAGCCGTGCCGTTGACGGCCTGCCCGGGCGTGACCAGCTCGCGGAAGCGTGCATAGAACGTCTCGGCATCCAGACCCTCCTGCTGCAGCTGCTGCAGCTGCTCGAGCTGCGCCTTTCGCCTCGCGGCCTCGAGCTCCCGCCTCGCCTCCCACCGGACAGAAACGAGAGCAGCCTTACGCAGGTCAAGCTCGGCGTCGGCGGCGGCGCGTTGGGCGTCGGTCATGGCGCGGTAGTCGGTCTTGAGGCGGTCGAGGTCGAGGGCAGGGTTGGCGGTCGTGGCAGCTGTGAGATTGCTGCTGCCGCCGGCACCGCCACCGGTGAGGCTGCCCGGAGGCAGAATCTCGTTGAGGAGGTCGGAGGCGGAGGCGCGGGCGCGGGCGGCGCGGGCCTGGGAGTCTGTCGAGGCTGCTGAGGAGAGAGGGACGCCCGAGGCTCGGTGATGCTGCTGTTGCTGCAGCTGTTGGGCTTGCTGCTGTTGGCGTTGGAGGTCCTTGGGGTATGCTGGTTGTGTTGGTGCAGGCTGCTGTTGAGGCTGCTGTTGTTGCTGTTGCTGTTGGGGCTGCTGTGGTGGTGGCTGCTGCTGCTGCTGCTGCTGCTGTTGTTGTTGTTGTTGTTGTTGTTGCTGCTGCTGCTGGATGGGCCGAATGGGATTCGGGTTGGGAGCGAGGTTCAGAGGGGACGCGACGCTCAGCTTCGGATCAAGGGATGGCGAGGCCGAGGGGGAGGCATCGTCAGACATGGGCTGCTGCAGGCCGCGAGAGGACGAGGTGGGCGTGAGGCCGTGGCCGGGGCCGGGGCCGGGCGTGAGCGTCTTGGAGCGGCGGAGGGTTGTTTTGATGGTGTTGAAGGGAACGTCGGGCAAGTACTTGTGGATTTTCTTGGCGCCATTTCCAGCGGCGCGAAGCTCGAAAATGCGAGCGCGCATGGTCGGGTCGAGCTGGCGGCCGCGAACCATTGCTGTGAAGGAACAATGGATGGGCAGTACGGATGGTGGATCGATCGTGTTGATGTACCCTTGGACCGGCGGCGGAAGGGATGGAGCTATTTCGAGCGATGGCGTGGGTGAGGTAGGTGGTCAAATGGATGATGGGAGTTGCTGGGTGGGTGAGGTATGGGTGTGGGTGTGGGTGAGGGTGAGGGTGAGGAGGGTGAGGATGAGGAGGGTGAGGTTCAAGGTCGTGGGTGGTTTTCTCGTGTTGGGGGCGTGTTGTGTTGGCGAAATGGGCTGCGTGCGGGAGGGAGGTCAAGAAGAGGAGGGAGGTCTGGGAGGTCTCGGACTTCTGGGGGAGGTCAGGTCAGGTGCCGAATTTGCAGAGGGGGGTGCAATCAACGCGTTTGGGCTCTTGCGAGGCAAGCGCCGGGTACTTCCAAGCTGGAGAACAGTCGCGCTCCCCATGAGGGGAGGGGGGGGGGTGGTATTACTACCAGGGTTTGCTGTGGCGGGACGCGATGTGACGCCCGTCCCTTGTGCTCCTGACAATGACGCGGGGTGGCCCTGACAATGTGCCATGTACCGTGCTGATGTAATCCGTCCCGGTGGGATCATGAACCTGACTCTGACCCCACCAACATCAAAAGTTCCTGACTTCATCTTTCTCCCTCTTCGCAGTGTCGCCTCGCGTGCCCGGGTTCCTCACTGACAATTGATTGTCTGTACGGCACTGCTTCAAGCTTCGCTTCTGGGCTCACGGCATCTTTGACAGCGGCCCCCCGAACCTATTCTCAGGAATCCATCGGCCATCTCTCGCCGCCACCGAGGATCACACCTCACCACAAAGCCATGGCTTCAGCGGCACAGCGACCTCCGCAGCGCGGGAGCCCAGCCCCCTCGCAAACGCAGACAGTGACCACGGCGCCAGTGCGCCCAAACACACATCAAACAACGCTCCGATTGCGAGGCGCCCACGCGCCAGCACGACCGTCGGTCCAGTGGGCTGACGATGTTGTCGACAACGAGGGGCTCGGTCGAAAGAAGTCCAAGGGTACGTTCTGCCAGCCGCAGGGAACTTGACACGTCCTGACACGACGCCAGTGTGCTGCATTTACCATCGGC